GAATAGGGATGATAGAAAGAGAATTGATGCTTTTGAGTTGTGGTGCTGGAGAAGAGTTTTGAATATACCATGGACTGCTAGGAGAACAAACAGGAGAGGGTGAATCCAGAATGCTCCTCGGAGTCAAGGATTCTGAAGCTTCCTCTGACATACTTTTGGCATGTTGCAAGGAGGGACTGGTCCTTAGGGACATCATGTTTGGGAGAGTAGAGGGACAGCACAGGAGAGGAAGACCCTCGATGAGATGGATCGATTCTGTGAGTGGAGTAGTGGGAATGAGTATTTGAGATGGCGAGGTTGGCACAGGATAGAAGAGAGTTTAGGGCTCTTGTATATAGGGTCGCTATGAGTCACAAGCGACTCGATGGCACATAACAACAACAACAATAACAGCTGGGTCACTCAGGGCAGATAGATTTCAGTGGGACTTCTACACTAAGACTGAATAAGAAAGTAGGGCTGACCATTCACTTCTGAAATAATGGGCCCCCAAATCCTAGTGACGAGCAGCAGAACACTGATATAGTACCAGAAAAGAGCCTCCCAGGTTGAGAGGCATTCAATTATGACATAAGATCAAACAAAGTTTCCAAACATTGCACACAAGGTCAATAACAGAGTCAATTCCTTGGCACCTAATGATAGGGTAATCTCAAAAGCTAATATGGAATTCTACCTAATATTGCATAATAGCATATTTCAGAATATTTTTACATTTTTGTTGTTGTTCTGTGCTGTCAAGTTGCTTGCAACTCATAGTGATCCTATGTACAAGAGTCCTAAACTCTGCTCTGTCCTGTGCCAATCTCACTGTCTCGGACACACCCATCCCGATTGCCCCAGTCACCGAATCAATCCACCTCCTAGAGGGCCTTTCTCTCCTGCGCCTGCTCTCCACTGTCCCAAGCATGATGTCCTTCTCCAAGGACCGGTCTCTCCTTAAAACATGACCAAAGTATGTCAGATGAAGCCTCAGAATCCTTGCCTCCAAGGAGCAGCCCGTTTTAACCCTCTCAAGGATGAATCTGTTTGTTTTCTTAGCAGTCCATGGTACCCTCAATACTCTTCTTTAACACCAAAGCTCAAAGGCATTAATTCTCCTTCTATCCTCCCTAGTCATTGTCCAACTCTCTGATGCATAACAAGTGGCTGCAAAGACTATGGCCTTTATCAGACGCACCTTAGTCTCCAGAGAGACACTGTCCTTAACAGCAGACTTTCCCATCGCAATACATCTTTTAATTTCCTGGCTACTGGTGCAAAGAGTGTTGATTGTGGAGCCAAGCTGACTAAAGCTGTGAACTAATCTCCATCTCTTCACCATCCATCCTGATGCTGCCAATTGGTCCAATGGTGAGAATCTTTGTCTTCTTGACATTGAGCCTCAATCCATATTGGAGGCTGCAGTCCTTGACCCTCGGCAGCAAGCGCTTCAGGTCCGCCTCAGTTTCAGCAAGCAGGGTTCTGTCATCTGCATAACACAGATTGTTGATAGATCTTCTACCAATCCTTATCCCAC